GGAAAGTCAGGAAGGAAACATAAACGTTTGTTACTAAGTGAAAGAAGCGAATCTGAAAAGTCTGATAGCGTAGCGTTCCAACTGGATGACATTCTGGAAAAGGCTTAACTGTGGAGATAAGTAAAAACAGCAGCAGATGTTAGGTCTTAGGAGGGAGTAAAGGACGAATACGGGGAGTACAGGACATTTTGGACAGTGAAACCACTCTGTATGATAATGGTGGATACACGATGTCATAAATTTGGACAAACCCATAACATGAGTCCACTAAGAGTGGACCTTAATGTAATTTATGAACTCTGCATGATAAAGTTATGTCAGTGTACTCAAGATTCATCACTTGTAACAAATATGCTCCATTGGTGAGGGATGTTGATGGTGAGGAAGACTGCCTGTGTGGGGGTGGGGAGTACGTGGGAAATCTCATCATCCACCTAGTTTTGCTCTGAATCTAAAACACTATAAAAAATGAAGTCTGTTAAAAAATAAATAAAACTGTATGGTAAAGGATTCTTCAACTTGGAAGCACTATACACATGTAAATTGTGATTAAAAATATTTGTAATCACCTCTTTCATCACCACAGTTTTCTAGCTTCCTGTAGGCTCTTGCAGCAGTCCAGTACTCTAAGGACTGAACCACCTAGGCTGGGCCTAGTAAATTGCTCATGAGTCTCACTTCCTCATCTGAAAGATGAACGTAATACCTGCCCCTCCCAAGACTGTAGGGATTAAATTATCTACGTAAAAAAGCATTGGTTTCTAGAAGTAGTAGATGTTTCTTATTAGGTGAATTATTTAACTTGATTTCACAGAATCAGTCTAAGCACTTGTTTGGCTCTGAGTAGAGGAAAACAAGGTGGGATTTAATGATGGTATTGATTACTGACTGTCGCAGTGGATTCCTTCTTCCTTAGTGTAAAGTGCTGCTATCCATCTAGAGAAAAGAAAAGAATGGCAGCGTATATTGCTGAAAATGTATGATGCCATGTTGCTTTTAACACAAGCTGAGGGGCGCCCAGGGTAGAAAATGTGTCTCTGTTGTTACATCGTGCGCCCAGCACCAAGCCCAGGACTTGACCTATTACAGGTATTCCATACCATGTTTAAAGAGATGAGTGAACCTTGTTTAGATGAGGAACATGTTCTAGGGATGGAGTACATGTTGTGCACTGGTGCATTTTGGATAGCTAAGTATGAGTCTGTGAGATATTTGCAAAGGAAAACAATTTTGATATTTTAGCGATTGTCTTTGAAACCGTTATACGTTCATTATGTGATTCACTGCAGGCACACATCTTATAACACGTCATATACTCTACAAGAAATTTTGGCCAGGTAGTATACATTAAAATGATCGTTTATGCCAAAATAATGTAAAAGGAAACAACGGAGACGGATATGAACAAATGCATTAGAACAAGTAATAGGGTTCAGAATTCACAACTCTTCTAAGTTAGATTTCTAGACCTTGAGTCATTGCATCTTAAAGGAAAGGGTTTCCTGTGGAGAAACGGATCACTGAAGCAGTGTCTTCGACTCCTGTCTTTCCTTGTGCTGTTCCAGGTTGGCGAAAGCACCAGCCCTAGCCCAGTCCTCACCATCCACCTGTTTCATCCTTGGAGGCGCAGATTGTCTAGGGCTGCCAGATTGCTGCAGACCTTTCCTGCAGCTGTGCCTCCCAGTCTCGCCTCCGTCCAGGCTGTTTTTCACCGTCACCAGAGTGATCTTTCTGTAATGAATCTGATTGTGTTAGTTCCTTCCTTGAAATCCTTTAATAGTCTCCCTAGTTGTCAGGATAAAAACCCAGATTCCTTAATAAGGAAAACTGACCGCCTCCCAGTCTCTGCCCAGTCTCTTGTCCACTTGTTCCACGTGTTCTCTGTGCTCCAGACATTTGCATTTCTCTGTATGTTCCATGCCCTTTTCATGTTGCTGAACATACATGGCTTTTTCTTCCCGGCGTACTTTTTTCTCTTCACAAGGTCATCAATTACAGGTCCTTAAAAACTCTCCAAGCTCACCTCTGGAAAACTTTCACTGGCTTCTCTTTTCCAGCCTTGGTTAGGTACCCTTGGTCTGTGCTCCCATACACTCTGCAACTAATGTTCTCAGTAGTCCCTGACATAATGCAGTGGACCCTTGAACAACATGGAGGTTAGTGGTGCCAACCCTGCAGGTCAGAAATCTGCCCATTACTTTTCACTCTCCCCAAACTCAACTAGTCGAGGCCTGCTTTGGCTATGGCCAGAGTGGAGTGGAGAGAGAGTGCAGCTACCTTTGCTCCTTCTCTTGGCAGCCCGGAGTCTACCTTCCCTTCCCTTGCAGTGTGGGCCCAGTGACTGCTTCCCCAGCCGTGGAGGAAGACAGCAGCCCCTGGAGGATCCAGTTTATAATCCCATTGTCGAAGCCACACCATGGCCCTGAGACTGTGGAACAGATCTGGAGGTGGCGTTCCACGCCTGCCACCTTCATACTGATGTGACTGGTTATCCCTGAGGTGGACGAGACCAGATCCCTTACTCACTTCTCAAGTCCACTTTGGCTGTGTCTCCGTGACAGCGGGAGAAGTGGGCAAGGACCACGTCCACAGTGACTTGAGTTCCAGGTGATGGTTGAACATCACTGGGACAGCAACAGCAGGGAGAGGAGCCTGAGGGAGCCATGAAGAGCACGGCAGGGATCTGGGAGGCCTGCCCATCTGGGATCCCGGGCACAGAAATGGAGTCAAGGCTTGTCACCTCTGGGGCAGCCCACATACTCAGGAGAGGGTCAGTGAGGGACCTAGCAGAGGGTCCCTCGATCCATAGACTCCCATCGGGTTCCGAGGGGAGCCAAGCTGGTGTGAGAGAGGAGTTAGTCTGGAATCAGGACCGCAGTCTGAGGATGCACACACACTGGGTTTGTTTCTTATTCATGTTTGGGGCAATCCCATGTTTAAAAGTGATGAACCTGCTGTTAGGTCTGAAAAAGAATGGAGGATGGAAAGGAAAAGGAAGCCCGAGTACAGGCGGACCTACGCGGTGCACACGTGTGGGAGACCCCACGCTGCCTTTCTTGCTGGACTGTAAGATTTTTTTTTTCCTTTTTTTTTTCTTTTTTTTTTTCAAGGACAGTGTCTTAGTTCGTTACTGCATTGCTGACAGAAAAACTGTGGACTGGGTGATTTATAAAGAAACAGATTTATTCAGCTAGCAGTTTGGAGGTTTGAGGTCCAGGGTGCACAGCTGGTGAGCTGCAGTGTGGCGGAGGGCAAGGTTTTGTGCAGAGCGATTGTCCGTATGTTTCTGCCTTGTGCTAGCTTCTTCTCTTCCCAGTTATGAACTATCAGAACTCAGTCATCTCTCTACAGTACATGGTGTTTTGGCACCTAGGGGCTTATCTCACAGATGAATTACCAGGATAACTTATCTCACAGATGTACGGTCTTATCAGGCGTGTGGCGCTTTTGTGAATCAGGGGCCATATTTGAGCATGATGCCTGTAAGGTCTTCGCTTTTAGCAAATCTCGATTAGCGTTTTAAATATTTGCATGTACACGCATACTTATGCCATATACAGTTTACAATAGCATTTTACATATTTGTCCAGTTTCCTTTTTCACTTTCTTTCCTGTAAGACTAAAGAAATTAAAATTCGATTTTTAATTAAAACCTTTAAAAATGTCACATTGCTGAAAATGTATTTGGGGCTTTAACTGGAGTATGTGGGTAATATAAATTGGGATCTTTTTTTTTTCTTTTTTCTGAGAAAATAAAATTATTTAAGTGTTGAAATAATTCTCAATTTTTCTTATTAGCATTTTTGGTTCCTAAGCAGAGTGAGGTATTCTTAGCCTCTTATAGCTGCAGTAGATCTTAGTGAGCATCTGGTTTACTTGCTTTATTTTAGAGATGAGATAACACAGGGTGAAAAGTGATTTGTCCTCAGTTCATTGACAGCAGTTCATTCATACCAGGGCCAGGATGACATACTAAATTCTTCATTATTGATTAGATGACCGAACTGTGGCTACCTCCTTTCTTATGATGGTCACATTACACTTTAAAGCCATACTATTTCTGGAACACATGTGGTTCTGATGACATTTTAAAAGAATATTATTCTAGTGACCTAGTAGGATAGAAGTAAGTTCCTGGAATTTGCCAATCCACAAGGCAGCCAGATTGGGTTTGAGCGAAGCTTTGGCAGGACTTTTCCATTTTGGTGTATAGGTTGTTTTCTAGTTATGTCAACGGGAGGTAATTTTCATCAGTCTGATTTTAAGCTATTAAAACCCTTCATGCTGCCTAACTCATTGATTTTTAACAAATGTGAGGGTTCAGATAGATTTTGTAGGAAGATGTTTAACTATTAGCTGATAGGTATATATTAAGGAAAATATGAGGAGTAAGATTTTTAAAAGTTTAGTCTTTTTCTTTTATGTTGAGGCTAAGAAGTGTAATATATTATTTTAAAAAAGTCATGTGGGTAGTCTCTTGAATTATCTTAAAAAGAAAAATGCAAAAAGGGGTTATGTGAATATTCTGTGTTTCCTTTTCTTTCTTTTAAAAAAATATTGTCCTAGGATTTGCATCTTAATTAAAGAGGATTATGTAAAAAACAACATCTTCTGCTCTGTGATTTTTAGTTTTTTAATTTTTTTTTAATGGGGGAGATAATTTTTTTTTGGGGGGGGAGGAAGAATAATTAGTGAATCATTCATTTCTTTAGTTAAGAAAAAAATGGTTAAAGGTGTGGGAGATTTTAGACAGCCAGACGCTAGTACTGGCATAAACTCCTGGGTGTAGTTACTTCATGGGATTAAATTAGATGGTTTAATTTTACTCAGTTGATAAGTTATACTTGTATGCGAAGAATACTGTGTTAGTCATTTTAAAGCTTTTCCTTTAGACTTAGTTTGAAGTTTAGTTGTCGGTTTTCTTTGCGATTACATCCTCTGACCGTAGCCTGTGTTGTGGTACAGCAAGTTAGTAATTGCTCGTTGTTCTGTTTCAGATCCCTACATGTCACTGAGTCCACCATGCTTTACCGAAGAAGATAGATTTAGCCTGGAAGCTCTTCAGACAATACACAAACAAATGGATGACGACAAAGATGGTGGAATTGAAGTAGATGAAAGTGACGAAGTAGGTGGAAAACATTTCTCCTGGTATTCTTGCAACAGAATGATTGAGTTTCTAGACTGATATTTTCCCTTTATTTTACATATAATTCAGCTCCTCCACCTTCCATGGTTTTAGTTTTTCTCTTTTCATTTAAATGATATTCTTTATAGGTACATCATTTTTCTGTTTTCTTTTTTTTTTTTTCCTCTCCCATTTGTATATAAAAGTTTTATAAAAACACTCATTCTCCTGTCCTTGGATTTCGCAAACATATATCCTACTCTGATATCTACTGCTGCTTTACAAATGACCTTAAAATGTAGTGGCTTAAAATGGCAGTGATTTATTTCTCCTGAACCTGTGGGTCAACTAGGCTCAGCCGGGCAGATTTTCGGTTCCCCTAGGTACGGACTGAGGAGGTCACTTCAGTAGTTGCCTTCATTTGTTAGTTCTACTGGATTGGGGTATTGAAGATGCCTCTTACCCTTTGTTACTGCTCTTCATTTGGGGCTCTCCTTCAAGCTGTATTGCTGGCATCCAAGTGGTAGTGCTCTAAGCACACAAGTTCCCATGTGCAAATGCTCATCATGCCTCGGCTTGCCAGTACTTGCTAACATCAAATTGGCCAAAGAAAGTCATTTGGCCAATCTCAGGGTCTGTGTGGGAGAGGATTATATAAGGACATGAATTATGAGGAGATGTGGTTCATTAGAGGCCACCAATTTCATACTTTACTGTACCCATTGCTTTAGAGCAATGCTTAACCATTAACTCTTAACCATTTCCTCTGGTCTCATTTGGAAGTTGTTTTCTTTCTTTTATTATAGTCTCATTCTAGTAAACTCCCCTGGTTATTTTTCAGGTCTTCTTTATTTTTCAAGTATTCTTTTAAAAAAAAAATACCAGAGGGTACCCAGGCTCACCAGAGAGAGGGAGGGAGGGGGTGGGGAAGAGAGAGAGAAAGTAAGAAAGAAAGCACTCCCCCTGGAAAATGGTCACAGCACAATCCCTTCCCTTCCACTTCTCCCTTCTTTTGGGATTTTGGGCATGCACGTACACACCTGGTGTGTTTTTCAAGCTGCTGGGTCTGGGACTTTGAACTGTTCATAGTCTGTGTAGGATCCAGCTGCTTTAACCGGTGTGTCATTGGCTGGACCTCTTTAACCTCTTTGTTGTATTTGTCATTGTTGAGGTGCTTTTTTTTAGTTGATAAAATACTAAATTACATGAGTTTGTGCATGATCAAATGTTATATAATAGTGACATTCTCTAATAACATTGTTACCTGATAGTGACATTCTTGAAAGATTACTTTTGAATCTTCGGTATAAAACATTTAGTTTGAAAATGCCTTGTGGGATCCCCATGAGTCCTTTGTCAGATTTGATAACTTTCTAGAATGGTTCACTCAGGAAGACATGTTACTTAGCTTTACTGGTTTTTTATGAAGTGTACAGCTCAGGGATGTCCAAATGGAAGAGACACAGAGGACAGGTGTGGGAGGGGTGTTCTCCCATACCTGAGCCTTCATGTTCTCTGTAGGCACATCTCATGCCTAGCACTTGGGTTTGCACACCAAACCTGGAAGCTCTTTGAATCTTAAACCTTGTTCTTTAAGAAGTTTTACAAAGCCTAATCTTCCTGGCGGTCAGTAGGGCAGACAGTTACAAACGTCTCATCACTTGGTCTTTCTGGTCACCAGCCCCATCCTGAGGATAGCTAGGGGCCCCACCCTAAGCCACTTCATTAGCATAAGTTCACTTTTGATAGAAAGGGACTTCTTGTGAATAGCACAGAGCACTCATCATTCAGAAAATTCCAGTGGGTTTAGGCTGTTCCAGAAACGAAGGAAAAGACCAAATATGTATCTTATCATTCAGAGTCTTAGTTCATTTTGTGTTGGTAAAGCAGTTCCACAGACTAGGTCATTTGTCGTGAACCGATGTTTATTGGCTTACAGTTTTGGAGGCTGGGAAGTCCATTGTCAAGGTGCCAGGAGGCTTGGCGATTCTGATTCCAAAGTAGTGCCTTACATGCTCTGTCCTCCAGAGAGGAGTGCTTCATCTTTACCTGGGAAGGTAGAGCTAAGAGGCCAAAGGGGGCCGAACTTGTCCTCTCATCGTGGCATTGATCCCACCCCGTGAAAGCAGAGTCTTTGTGTCTCTGTGTCTGTCTCCCCAAGTCTCACCTCCTAACACCACTACAGTATTACCCGATTTCAACGTGAGTTTGGAAGAGGATAAACGTTCAAACCACGTGTATAGCACAGATACAAAATTATTTAAATTTGAAACAAATAGCCGGAATTCACATGTTCTGAATCATTAAACATACCTTTAAAGGTCAGTTAAATTGTGTGTAATATATAGACAGAGGGTATTAAGGAAGTCTTTGTAACTATTTGACAGCCTACTTGAGTGTATTTACGTGATAATTCTTAGAATTACAAGATATTTTAATCTGTTTACCTTATGATTCGATATTAAATGTTTTTGTGCAGAGTGTTATTATCACTGTATGAAAAGCATGCATGGATGTGTAATTCATACTTAAGTGGAAGGTTTATTGAATCTTTTGAATTTCAGTGGAATTCTAAGCATTTTGTAATGAAAGAACTAAAAACATGTTTAAAAAGTAGACCTGGGATGATGGGTGAATTTAATATTTAAGGATAGAAGACAATTTTATTAAATATTTTTTAATTTAAATTTATTTTTTAGTTTTTACTATAGAGTGCATATGCTCTCTAGAGAGAGACAGAGAGAGAAAGTGAGAAATCACCCCCAACCCAGGGCAGATGGCCAAGCCGAAATTCAGTTCTCCTCTTGGGATCTTGGGCATGCATGCACACGTGCCTAGCTTGATTTTCGAGTCTGGATCTGGGACTTGAACCACACACCTGGCTATGTGGGATCCAGTCGCCTTAACCACATACCATAGGCTGGCTCTTACATATTTATTTTACTATTGATATTTAAATGCAAATGTAGTATGCTTTCATATTTTCTTAGCATCTAAAAAAATCTAGAAATCCATTTTCCGATACGGAAGCCACTAGTCACCTTGACTATTGAGCATTGGAAATTGTGGTGTGTTGTAAGTTTGAAATAGATTTCAAGTTTACATGAGATAAATAATGTGAGCTGTCTAAGTTTTAAAATGTAGGTTCTTTGTTGGAGGTAATTTTTAAACACATATTAGATGCATGAAATAAAATATTAAGAAATTTAAAATGATTTGTTTATGTTCATTGGCAGAAGGCTCCTGGGAAAGGACACAGTAGGCCTAGCCCCAACCCCAAATATCTTATACAGTCTTGATGAGAAGGATACCTACAACATTCCACAGATGCCTTGGGTTTTTTTCTCTCCTTTTTTGGGATGACTTTTGGATATTTGTCTCTTATCTTGAGCTCTGCTTGAGGGAAGGCAACATCTGGGGCAACCTTGAGTACCCTTGGCAGGGGTAGGGGGAGAGGGTGGAAGATAGGCCTGAAGCTTCAAACCTGGGCTGGCAGGTCTGGTGGGAGGGGACATGCCCTAGTGGGGAATTCCTTCTATCAGAGGAAGATTTCCATTTGAAAGGAGGAAAGAAGGGGGGGCAGCCTGATTTTACTGTCCATGACTGACTCACACAGAGATAACAACTGAATGGCCCAGAGAGGTGAAAGACCACCTGGCCGCTGCCTCAGGACTAGGGTAATTACCCCACCCTAAGGCCCTTAAAAGTCCCTGGCCCCCATCTTTCAGGGCAGGTGCAGCTCTCACATCTGGCCCGTTGCTCCCCTTGGAAAGTGGATAATAAACCTATAAACCTTTTCTATGCACTAACTCTGAGTCTGTGAATTCTTCACAGCCCGAAACAGTTCACCCTAACAAACGTGTATTCACCAGAGAAAGACAGGGAGAGGGAGAAGCGCCCCCAGTGGGGTGTGGACATGCTGCTCTCTCTTCTCCCCTGTGTCCACCCCGTCAGAATTTTGGTCACACTTACACATACACCTGGCATGGCTTTCAAGCTACCAGGACCTGGATTCAGTCCACAGTTGGCCATGTGGGATCTGGGCTCCCTTAACCACTGGACTGTCGGACAGTGGTTTCTTTTATTTAAAGAAAAAATTACTTTTTTAATTGGCAGAAGGTAAATGCACTCACAAATGAAAAAAAAAAAAACATTCCATGGGGGAGGGTCACGCCACAGTCTTTTTTTTTTTTTTCTCTATTTCTCTCTTCCTTCAGGATTTTGGACATGGATGCACACATGCCTGGAGTGTGTTTCAAGCCACTGGGGCCAGGACGTGAACCTTAGCCATGTGGGATCTGGCTCCCCATGCACTTTACCTGACTGCTGCGTTCAGGGCCAGTCCTAATACTTAAAATTAATTTTACTGTTTTTACTTAACGTACTTCTAGAAAATTTAAAATTATATATGTCGACCACATTTTATTTCTCTAGGACAACACCGATCTATTGAAAGAAAATTCTAGACAAATTCAATTTAGCAGAGTTTAACCGAGCAAAAAACAGTTGCAATTGGGCAGACCCCACTCTGGGTGGCCACGTGGGTAAATGTCTGTGGACAGGAAACGGGAAGTGGAAGTGAGGCAGAGAACCAGGTGGACCTCTTCCTGCTTGCTGTCTGCCCCAGCCGAGCACAGTCTGAACAGTGGGCCCCCTGGGACTGAGCAGAGCACAGAGCACAGAGCACAGAGCTGTGATGGGCTTGTGGCTCTGCTGTCTGCTATGGAAACGGAACTCTGGTAGGTGGCCCTGTGCCCCTGGGAACTCGGTGTAAGTACGGAGGCTTTTCAGGCCAATATCATCTGCTTTCTTAACAAGTCTGTGACCAAACTAGACTAGTGTGGTGCCCTTGGTACAGTAAAGGTACTTTTGGTTTGGAGTTCTTATTAAAGTGTCTCTTTAAAACAGTAGTAATTCTGCTATGGGCTGCTACTAACCATCACTAGGAAACGTTAAAATTTTTTTTTTTTTCCCAATTTATTTGCATTCATTCACTGTAC